AAATCAATGATCCTTGTTATAACCTATAAAAAATCGTTCGATAACTTCGAGATGATTTCGAGTGTAATAGAATCGATTGATTCTATTGGATATCTCTTATGAAAATGTAAAAAGAAAAATAAATAGGGGAGAGAGAGATAGAGAGATAGAGAGAGAGAGAGAGAGAAAGAGATAAAGAAATGTTTCATCGAACATTTTTGTAAAAAAAAACGAGAAGATATATAACAGATTTTATAATTGATACTCCGAGATATTTCGATTATATCGGAGAATCGGATTCGATGCTTCTATTAATTAAATAAAATGAAAATAATAAATCAAAGAGAGTAAGAGATAATGATAGTGAGAGAAATTTTAATTTATATAATATTTTTAAAATGAATAATAATGATAATAATAATAACAATAATAATAATAAAAAGAATATAATAATCGCACAGATTTACAATTTCAAAAACTACTATGTTATAATCTAAAAATCGTTCGATCTTTCGATATATTTACTTCGAATATATATATATATATATAAATATATATATATTTAATAAATAAATATATATATATTTGTATATATATATATGTATTTATTAAATTTTTCTAATAATAATAATAATAATTAATTAATTAATTAAAGGGAACGATAAATAAAATGGATTAAAAAAAAAAAAAAATCGTATCTATAATTGTTCTCCAAAAAATTAAAGGTGAAAGATGAATAAAAAGAAATATAAAAAGAAATTAACTAAACTTAGTATAACCTCAAAAAAAAAATTACAAAAAAAGAAAAAATAATAAATAAATGAATAAAAATAAAAAAAACAATTACTTATTCTTAGATTTTCTCTTTCAAAGGACATCGTATTCGAATACTCTGAAAGAATGTGGAAGCAACGCGTTCCCGTAACTCGACGATTTTTATTTCCCTCACACGTGCATGCACGCGACAGAAAAGAAAGAAAGAAAGAAAGAGAAAGAGAAAGAGAAAGAGAAAGAGAAAGAGAAAGAGACAGAGACAGAGAGAGAGACAGAGAAAGAGAGGAGACAGAGAGAAAGAGAGAAGAAAGAGAGAGAAAGAAAGAAAGAAACGCATGGCTATGTCCGATGCACAAGACAAGAGCAATTCTTTTTCCCATCCAAGAATTCCCTTGAAATAGCGACGATATAACCTTGGTATGTAATAGTGAATACCCCCATTAGCCGTACCATTGTCCTCCATAAAGGATACAACAACAAAAAAAAAAAAAAAAAAAAAAAAAAAAAAAAGAAAAAAAAAAAGAAAAGAAAAAAAGAAAAAAAGAAAAAAAAAAGAAAAAGAAGAAGAAACAAAAAGAAAAGGAAAAAAAATTCTTCTCGTACGTACCACCATGAAATTTTTCAAAGAATGACTTAATTACGTCCGGACGTTCAGGTCAAAGGTCATTATATTTATCCTGATTCAATTCAAACGATCAAGAAAATTATTTATTATTAATTATTTGGTAATATTATTATTATTATAGATCATATTTATTAATTGAATAATTTATTAAAAGATAATTATAAAATATATATATATTTTTATATTAAGATAAATAATAATAAATAATAAATACATGATAAGTGGTAATACGAATTATCAAAATTCCCGCGCTTTTAATTCCCTCTGAATTTCGAAAATTTATGACCTCTAACCAAAAAAAAAACCTTCGATACAATTGTAACGATGATTCATAATTCATTGAATGGAATTAATCGATGTGTGATAAAACAATCGTTTTCTATTTTTAAATATTTGCATTTGCAAGAAAAAAAGAAGAAAAAAAAGTAAAAGGCATTGAAAATACTTATAAATATATTAATCTTTATGAATCTTATTATTACCCGATCTTTATATTTTTATTTCTGTAATGTCGAGAGAAAGAGACAATGATGATGACTTTTGATTCGTCGATGAAAAAAGACGAACAAAAAGTCATATATATATATATATATATATAAAATTTCTAGTAATAAATTATATAACAAAATATAATCTTTGAAATGTAATACATAACCTCTTAAAAATTACGATGATAAAATCAAATCCATTTATTAATTATTTCAATGTAAAAACATTCGCAAGTATAAATCTTTACGATAAATTTTTTTTCTATATATGCGATCAATATTTTTTTTTTTCTTTTTTATGTATTTTAAATTTCATTCCATTTTTCTATAAGTTCTTTTATATACATATGTAAAATATTGTGTTCATTTTTCTCTCTCTATATATATATATATATATATTCATATAATTTTTTTTCTCATATATATATATACATATATTGAAAAAATGTAGGTTTAAAATTCGTTCGAACGAAAGGCACAATCGCGCAAATAAAATATATATGAAACAAAAAATCGTTTACTTTCAAAAATTTCTATGTATAAAATTCGTACGAAATGCGAACGCGTTCGATGATAAAATAAAATAAAGAAAATATAAAAAGAAAAAAAGAAGAAGAAGAAGAAGAAGAAAACGAAGAAGAGGAAGAAAAGGAGAGAAAAAAATTATGCTCACCTCGATCACCAAAATCGGACGACGGATCCACCAAAGAGAATCTTGATCGTTCAACGTAACAGAAGTAGAAACAGTAACGGCAATATCGGCGGCAGCAACTGCAGCCAATCATCGTCGAAGGATTTTCTTCTTGAGAGGAATACGAAAATATACATACACAATACACACACACACACATATATATATATTATGTATATATGCATATGTGTGTATAAAAAAAAAAAAAAAGAATAAAAAAAAATCCCTAAGCGATACAATACCGTAGATCGTATCCCCCTTTCCTTTTACTCGTAAACGCGGAACATCATTTCACCGGTTAACAAATTTTTAATGACGAAACGTATCGATATTAAAAATAAATAAAAAAAAGCGACGACAGTAGGAAGGGGAGGAAATGACAAAAAACAAAAAAAAAAGATAAGAAAGATAAAAAGAAAGAAAGATGGAAAGTTGAAACAAGAAAAAGAAGTAGTAGTACTAGAAGAATGAAAAAGGAAACGAAAAAAAAAAAGAAAAAAAAAGAAAGAAAAAATAAATTGAGAAAAAAGAAAAGAAGTGTCCTTTAATGTTGGCGATTTCTCACTCACGATGGAGTACGACGAATGAGAATAGAAAGAAATGAAAGAAGAGATGATAAAGGAGAAGAGGTGGAAGAGTAAAAAGAAAAGTCAGACGAAGGAGAAGAAGAAAAGGAGAAGGAAGAGGAAGAGAAGAAAGAAGAAGAAGAAGAAATAGAATAAATAGAAGAAGAAGAAGAAGAAGAAGAAAGAAGAGAAGAGAAAAGACGGCGTGACATGTCAGTCAGGTGGCAGAGCGCGACAGCGATGTGCGCTATCGTCCTCGTCGCGTTCCTCTGCGTTCTGCGGAAAGATTCACGTTTGTAGGAACTCGCGCGAAATGAAGTAAAAAAGAACGAACGAACGAACGAACGAACGAACGAACGAACGAACGAACGAACGAACGAACGAAGGAGCGAGCGAGCGAGCGAGCGAGCAAGCGAACGTACGTACGAACGTATGAACGCGTACGAACGAACGAACGAACAAACGAACGACGACGACGAACGAACTAGCGCGAACTAGCGCGAACGAGCGAACGAACTCGAAGGAACTTCGTGCCTTGCCGGCTCTGCTACGACCTCGCCGATTGGCGGCCGTCGACTCCCCACTACCATCATTCTCTCTCTCTCTCTCTCTCTATCTCTCTCTTTCTCTCTCACTCACTCACTCACTCATACTCGATCCTTGTCTCTCTCTCTCTCTCTATGCGTATATGTTAAAGAAAAGGACGAAGAGAACGTTGATCAGGGCACTGCCTTCGTTCGAATGAAACTGAACCGGAGTTAAGCTCTCGAAGGATTCGGATATGCCTCTGGCTAACTTCTTCTTCGTCTTCTTCATTTTCTTTTTTTTTTTTTTTATTTTTCTTCTTTTCTCTTCTTCTTCTTCCTCTTATCATCTTTGACTTATTACCGCACTACTACTAGTAAATATCATTACTACTCCTACTACTATTACTATTAATTTTTCATCACTTTTTCTATTCTATTTCATTTCCTCGTCGAAAACATACCCTCGTACTATTTACTTTTTGTTCTTTTTGTCTTTCTCTCTCCTTTTTGTCTTTCTTTCTTCTTTCTTTTTTGTTTTTTTTTGTTTTTTTTTTTTTCATCTAACCTTCAAAATTAATATACCGCCAAGTTAATCTCTACTTTTATATACAATAGTACTACGCGATGACGACGCATTTACCGAGTACCAACGATCATGACCGAAGTTATTCCTCCTCCTCCTCCCCCCACCACCCCGCACCACCATATTCGGGATTTACAAATGGCCGATCGATTACATATTCCGGCGAATTAACCTCGAATACATTTAACTTATACACACACACACACACACATACAAACATATGTATATATATATATATATATATATTTCATTAGTTTTCGATATTCATAAGCGAATTTGAAAGATATTTTCCCTAAATCTAAGATCTATTATTATATCCAATCCGATCCTTTCCTTTCCTTCTCCATTTTCGTTTTCTTTGTTTTTCTTTCCTCGCAATCTCCTCATCCCTTCTCCGAATCCAACCATCGCCGCGTTGCCGATTTTCTTTTTCTCGAACCACGTGTCGGAGAAAAACAAATTAACGACGAAGGGTTTTTCATCGAGTACTTTGATTATTTTTACTTTCGAGCAAAGCTTAAGCATGAGATGGCCCCATGGGATGAGACGTGTGAAGGGAGGGATGGAGAGGGAAGGAGGGTATGCGAGAGGGGGGAGGTTTCTCACTTGAAATAATTCTCGATAACTGTAATGTATTCTCTTGGGTATGGCATAGCGAAACGTTCAATCCCTCTCTTTCGACAATCTACTATCTATCTATCTATCTATCTATCTATCTGTTTGTCTGCTACTAATACTACTACTACTGCTACTATTACTATTACTAA